CCAGGCTTGGTCGGCTTCTCGCCTCCGGGGTTGGAGCCGGGATGGGTACCGCGCAGCACAGTTGCCCCGCCTGCTCCTGTCACCGTGCCCTGGACGGGCGTGCGGTCGCTGGGCCATCCACCCACAGGTGACCCCATCAGGCCCCACGGCCCAGCCCCGCGCTCCCTCACGCAGGTCCCACAGATGCCGTGGGGTCCTTGCTAAGCACCGCTGACGTCAAAGGACAGATGTGGGGATACTCTGTGACCCTGTGCCCAGCTGCGCAAACTGCGTGGGCGCTAGGTGCACGTCCCCGAGGCCCCGTTCCACCATCAGCTTTTCGATCCTCGGTGAGGCCCCTCTTCTGTGGGTGCGAGCCTGCACCCCTGAGTCACATTCCCCTTTAAAAGTGACCGTTTACACTGTGGCTGCAGCCTGAGGAGGCTTCCCTACCGCGCACTGGTGTCTTGCAGTTGTTTCTTGGTGCTCAGCGTGGTGAGCGGGGCCTTGGCGGCTCCCTGCAGTCCCCGGGGCTTCCAGGGACCAGCTCTGGGGGCTTCCAGGGCTGCGCCTGCGATAAAGATACAAAATGTCGGAAACCGCAGGAGGGAGGACAGAAACAGGCGAGGAGGCGAGCGGCCACGTTGATGCAGAGGCCGGGAGCCTGCACCGCCTGGGGTCGGCGCTCCGGGAGCACGCCGGCTTTACAGCGCTCACCCTGTTGCCGTTGTTCGCTGCTCTCCGGTTGTCTTCCAGGCATAGCGACCCCGTGTGGCACAGTGGCACCGCCCCTAAAGCTTCTGCCTGTAATCCTCACGGAAGCAGGTGTTTCTCCAAGGGAGCCCTGCCCAGGCCACCAGGGCTCCTTAGAGGCAGTCTCTGCACAGCTTACAGTGCCGCAGACCTTTCGAGCTAGTGCACGTGGTTCATGCGCTGGGCTGCTCCCCACGAGGTTGGAGGTTCGACCCCAACGACAGGATCTTCAGAAGCGCGGTCCTGGTCCAACTTCCTGGAACTCGGCCGCTCTAAACCGTCCGCAGCACCGTGTGCTCCGACCCCCGTGGGTCGCCGGGAGTCGGGCCGAGGCCGCCCACACCCGCTCGCTCACTACCTCCACTGGCCCACTGACGCTCTGACGGCTTCTGCAGCTTCCTCACTGCCTCCACCTTTTGTCTCTTTTCCTTTGTGTGTTTTTTAAACTGTCTTGGCTTTATTTGTGTAGCTGAAACTCACTTAAAGGGCTTTCTTTCTTTTTTTTCTTTCTGTATGTTTTCCCAGTCTTCTTCTTCTTCTTTTTTTTTTTTTTTTAATCAAAATAAAGGGAGACATCGCAACAGTTAAGTCACAGCGTGGAGGGAGCCAGCGCCCCCTGGCGCCTGTGCGGAAAACTGCAGAACCCGGCTGAGGTGCGCATGCTCGGGCAGCCGCACTGCGCGTGCGCAGAGCATCCTCGCCCTTGCGATGACCGCGAGGGCACGTGTTTCGGGAACAGAAGGTGTGGGGACCGAGGGGGCACCTGCCGCCTTGGCGCAGCGCGCATGTTCTCCATTGGGTTTTGTGAGCATTCGGTGGAGGCGGATGAGGGCTTGTCCATGTCATCATCATGACAGTTTCATAAATGCCTGGTGGCGCAGTGCTTAAAGCGCTGGGCTGCGCACTCGAAGCTCGGCGGTTCAGCCCTCCCTCCCCAGGTGCGGAGGGAGAAAGATGTGGCAAACTGGGTTCCTAAAGATGACAGCCTGGGAAAGCGCATGGGTCAGTTCTCTGTCCTGTAGTCCCTATGAGTCCAGATCAACTGGCCCGGATTTGGGTTTGAAATACCGTATTATAAAGAATATTATTAAAACTCAGAAGGAGGGGAGAATGGGGGGTTGCTCAGGCTCTCTAGACCTCCCCTGGCTGCCATGGAGTCCATCTGGACCCCCGACGCTCCCACGCGTGGCAGACGACGCGGTTGTCCGTGTCTGATTTCTCGGAAGTACATCACCACGCCTTTCAACCGAGGCGAAGCCTCCTGTAGGGCCCGGGCGCAGTCACCGCACCGTCGGCACCCTTGGCACCCTGGGCTGGCTGCACGGCTCGGGGCCGAGTTCCGAAGGCGGCGGGCAGCGCCTCCAGCATAGTCCTGGGTTCTGAACCCCAGGGAACGCAGGTGCCAAGTGCTCAGAGATGGAGAGCGCCCTGTCCCACCCTGTCGTCCTTCCCGCCACGTCAGAGTCCTTTACAACCTTTCCTGACAGGGACTTGGTGACGTGTTTTCAAGAAGTTGCTTTATGTGTGTACGTGTTTTCTGAACTCGCTTCCCCAGCCTCATTGGTTCCGAATTTTCAGCAAGTCTGCGAGCAAGGAAGGGCTTTCTAAGCCGTAAAGAACTGAGTGGGGGGTGGCTTCCCCATCTCTTCGGGTAGACAGTCACACCATCTTAATTCACGTAACGGGTATTTAATTTACAAGCTATTTTCTGTACCTTTTCCTCACAGAACAAAAGCTACTGAGAGTCTGTGTGAATCAGAATCATGTGGAAAACCCAGTTACTTTGCAGGTAATCGTTTAGTTCACTCTGTATTCTCTCACCAACGGGGAAATGCGTTCCTGCCTCTTGGCATCCGGCCACCCTGTGGAAACCCTGGCTTATTCTGAGGTGTGTGGGAGAGGGGGTGCTGTGTCTGCTGGCTGGGGGTGACTGCTGGTCCCTGCGCCGTGCCCCACAGTCCTGAGCGTGCGATCAGTCGAGGTGCACTGGGGACGAAGTGTGTGGGGTCCGGGGACTGTTCACTGCACCTAGGGTGGCTCATTCCCTTCTCCAAACCTCCACAGGACGGAGCAATGGGGAGAACGGCATCCTGGTGGCCAGAGCGCACACGGACGCTGACCACTGGGCCCGGGCTCCCGTCAGGGCCCCATGCCTGTGCCTCGGTGGCGGCGACCTCGTCCTTGACCCCGAGGGAGGCGCAGGGTAAGTGGCGTCAGCGATTCTGTCCATCTCCGGCCCTTGTTACGGCACAGCCAAGGGTCAGACTAAGGGGTGGGACGTGCTTAAGAAGAAATGAAAGAGGGACTGGCCAAGTCCCTGGGCTGTCCAGCCACCCTTGTGCTGTAAACACAGTAGCCAGCTTGGCTCTGTCCTGTGGCATGCAGACCTACAGAGTATGCCCCAACGCGTCCCACACGAGGAGTCGTGTCACCTTTGCTCAGAGCCCGGGCCCCTCCCTCCCTACCCTGCGGGTGCCCCTCTGCTGGAAGCGCCCTGTGCTGAGAAGGGTGGAGGCTGCTCCGGGATGAGGGACAGCAGCCACCACGGTGAGCACGGGGCCTGGGCTCAGGGCAGCGTGGGCTGCGTGCTTCTCTCTCCTTTTCCCGTTGGTGGGCTTGGCCACTTCCTGCAGAGATACACTGATGGCGTACTGTCCTAATGGATGTGGGAAGCAGCAAAGCGAGGCAGGGCAGTGGAGAAGTGGACAGCCTGCTGGCATTCTCCCTCCACCCACACCTGGGGTGTGGGCTCAAGTCTGGGCTATGCTGCCTGGTCCCCAGGCCGGAACCTGGCTAGTGCTGGGCCTCACCTGGGGTCCAGGACCCTGACCTTCTGCCACTGTCATTTGCCTGCCACGACATGGGACAGGCCACAAATAAAAGGAGGAAATCATTTCAATGACTGACAAATACGCAGCCACCCCAGTGCAGGAAGACGCCAGGAGGCGGCTGTAAGAGAGCCGTTTCTCTCGAGTGGCATCTCTCGGGCCCTGGAGCCAGTGGCGCCACGTGACCAGCCCAGCCACACCACGTTCCTCGTGGGCAGGGCTCCTGGGAACCAGCACCAATACGTCCCCAGCAAATACACGTTGCTGTTGACGGAGGCTGGAGTCCCCGGTGTTGTAAACCGTTCACACATTCGTCTGCTAACCAAAAGGCTGGATGGAGGTCGAGTCCACCAGAGGCCCTGGGAAGCTAGCCCTGGCCATTTATTTCGGAAAGAACAGAGCCCCAAAAGTTCTGTGCGGCGCAGTTCTGCTCTGGTGCACAAGGGGGCGCCGTGAGCCCAGGGAACGCGGCGACTCTTGGGGCGGGAGCCTGGCGCTGTAGCCAGCAGCAGCTGCAGGAGCTTGGGCGAGGGCCTCACCGAGATGTGACTTTATCACAAGGACAGGGAGGGAGTTGGTGCGGCCCCGCGGGGCTGCCAAGTGGGGTCCATGGCGCGCGGTAGTGCGGGGCCTGGTTACAGCGTCATGCTCAGCTAGTCCCCTCCGAGAGCCGCAGCCAAGGGTCGGATGGGCCGCTGCCGCACTGCTCTAACGGCTCGGCTTTCTTTGCAGGGACAGAGATGAAGACGCGCCCGGAGGGGTGCTGGCGGGCTCCTCGGGAGCCAGGGGCCCCAGGGAAGTACACACGTACCATTGCCGCTTCGAAGCAGCGGGGAAGATGAGGTCTCTCAACTGGACGGCAGAGAGGCACAGCCAGGGCAGCGTGAAGCTGGAGCCCGAGCCCGCAGGGAGCGCCCCGTTCTGCGCGCGGGGTGAGCCCGCCGGGGGCCTCTGCGCGCCCTACCCGGGCGTCCAGGCCACTTTCCATGCCAGCGCGCTCCCTGCTTTCAGAAATGCGCCGAGCACCCAACCGCTGGACCGTGCCCCCAGTGTCCACTGCGGCCGCACCAGCAGGCCCTGGCGGCACTGCGACCAGGCCCTGGTGGCGCCCCCCACCAGCTGTCGCCTCCCCCAGGGCAGCCTGGGGAACGGGGTCCCTCCCCCTGCGGCACGGCCTTTCCCCGTGGGGGGCTGTCCCGCAGAGGCCGCCAAGTCGCGAAGGGCGCCAGTGCCTCCGGGAGCCGTGTGCAACCTGATGCTGTCGCCGGACGTGTCCATCAAAGTGGAGAAGGACTCTGCGTCCGAGGACACGTTGGACGGCTACACCGTGTCCCCGAGCCACGGGTGGCTGGAAGCCAGTGACCTGGCCAAGGGCCGGCCGGCCGATTTCCCTAACAACATGCACCTGAAGACCGAGCCGGACCTCCTCGGCCACCTGCCCCCGTGCGCGGACTCCAGGCGCCTGGCCTACGCCCAGCCCCTGGGGCCCAGCGTGCTGGGGCCGCACCCCAACGGCAGGGCCGCCGCCAGGCCCGGCGCCTTCTGCCCAGCCACCTGCGCCTGCCTGGAGCGC